CGACCTTGCGACTTCTTGGGCTAAAGCTACTGAACAGGTACGCTCTTGGACTCCCGATGAAATCCGGACAGCTGTTTTGTACATATTTTCGACGATGGACTTCTTCATTCCGCTTGAATGTGCGGAAAGATAATGTACTATAATATTTTTGCTGCTAGGCTTCCGGTACCACTTGGTTTTGTATTCCCCGTTTGACAAATATACTTGCACTTTGAGGAAAGCAAGCCAATTTTGAGTTGGTTTTTCCCTGGTGAATTTAATGTTAAGGAACTGCTCATTGAGGATCCTAAAGCAGTTATCCATTTCCATTTGAGTGGGACATACGATGCAGCAATCATCTATATAACGGCAGTAAAGCAGTGGCTTGCGTTCTAATACTGGCGTTTCTACCTTAGACATGAAAGCAATGGCAAGTATTGGTGCTAGTCGCTGTCCCATAGCCAAACCTCTAACCTGTTTGTAATAATGACCCGACCATCGAAAAACATTACAGCGCAGACATTCGCAAAGAAGAGTTACGTTGTTGATAGTTAATCCATACAGGTTAAGTGAGGATTGATGCTCAGAAAGTAGTTCGCAAACAGCTTGCATAGCAGCATCGTTTGATACGTTAGTATATAAGGACGTAACATCAAACGACTCCATAACACAGTTTTGGGTGAACTGCGTATTGCGCAGCCGTTCGAGGAGCATATTAGTGGTAACAAGATGCGCTGGAACATGCTTCAATAGTTGCACCAAAATTAAATTAAGGAGCCATGCTATCCTATCCGTTGGTCCCCCTACATTGCTGATTATGGGCCTTACTTTAAAGTTTTGCGCGTTGTTCGACTTAAGCCCTGCCACAGGAGGCTTACGTGTTTTTATTAACGTGTAAAGGACAGGACACGTCGGTAGATAGTTCTTCAATCGCGAAGTAATGTTTCGAGCTAACCCTGCAGATCGAGCCGTTTCTAACCATACCTTATTTAGATGGCGATATTGTTTCTTAAACTCATCAATGGACGAGGGTGAATAGACGCTGATGTCGTCCAGATGGTTGCGAGTTATTGCCATATCTAGTTGACGTGATATAACCACGAACCCTCCTCCCTTATCGCTAACAGAGATCTTGATCTCCCCAGCATTGCAGCGATCACGAATTTCACGAAGGCTGCGCCGTTGTGCGGGCGTGAGATTATTAAAATTGCGTTCCGAGAATTTACTGAGAATGGAGAAAACTGATGTTGTAAAAAGGCGAAATTTGCTGTCTACCGTGCTGTTAGGTTCCTGCGGTTTGAAGAGAAGACGTGGGAATGGTATAGTTGGTAAAGAATCTGCTGCGTTATTTTTCACACCTTTTGCGCGCTGTTCTTGGTTTGCCTTGTGACGCAGTCCTTCACGTACAAATTGGAGGCTCCCTACGATCTTGCGTGAGACCCTATCCTATCAATTGAAGTGGTGAAAAACTTGGACCGAGATTCAAGACTGAGAGTGCGTCGTTAGAAATGAGTACGTCACCAATGATGGATCACGTGAAAGTCTAGGCACGTCAACAGAGTTGTCATCAGAACAGTTCTGGTTTACGGTTCTGAGGTTCATACTAGGTACTCTTAGGCCTTGACTCTTCTCTTGACTGATCAACCTATCGAACTTCTCCCGTAGCCTAGTCTTGGCATCAGAGCGAACAAGATCACAAATGAACTTCGACTCACCCACAATCTTCCTCCAAAGGTGATCGGGCAAAAGGCGTTGAAACACTGTTCTTTGTACATACACGTCCTCAGAGCAGTGTGAATTATACGTTGCTCGATCTCTCGTATTTGCTTATCGCTTCTTCGCAGTTAAGTTGGGCGCAACTTGATGTTGATAGCAGCGGCGAAGGAAGTGGATGGTCTGCCTTTCTGAGACGATCTTCTGTCTCAAAGAAAGGACGTCGTTTCCAGCCGGAAGCAATTTGCTGGTACATCGTTCAAGATTGCCCATGCTCGGCTGTTGTTGAATCTTGGCATTTGCAAAACTTCAATTAGGTTGTTTGAGCAGTTGGCCAAGATTGGTATAGACATATGATTTGCCTACATTGATTTGCAAATAACGGAAGAAAGGGCACCAGAACTGCCCTATGGAAGAAGCTGGGTTGCATAGGGAGCGTGCAATTAAAACGACTGGAGCCGATGGGGCATTTGCCTCTGGTTAGTTA